AGTATATATATATGTATGTATATGTATATATATATATATATGTATGTAGTATATATATATATATGTATGTATATGTATATATATGTATATATATATGTATGTATATGTATATATATGTATATATATATATATGTATATATCTGATACAAATGTTTTTTCAGACCCCCCCCAATAAAGCAAAAATGCATGTTTAAGGGTGGCCTTTTATTGTGGCCAGCCTAAGGCACACCTGTGCAATAATCATGCTGTCTAATCAGCATCTTGATATGCCACACCTGTGAGGTGGGATGGATTATCTCGGCAAAGGAGAAGTGCTCACTATCACAGTTTTTTTCAGATTTGTGAACAATATTTGAGAGAAATGGTTATTTTGTGTATATAGAAAATGTTTTAGATCTTTGAGTTCATCTCATGAAAAATGGGAGCAAAAACAAAAGTGTTGCGTTTATATTTTTGTTCAGTGTAGGTTTTAATTACAAGATCTGACTTATCTAAATATCCCGTCTTGTCTCAATAGATCTTACCAAGCTATGTTCACTTCTATTGGCAGATTTGACTGATTTAAAGTGAAAACACCTTGTTTTCGAAGCTGCATTTAACATGTTTTTTCTTTTAACTCCCTTGTGACCTTACCACATTTTAAAGTGACAACATTTGAGGCGTTCTCCCTGTTCCTGATGGAGGTGCACCTGAATTCAGCCTGCATCTCTGTGCTCTCCAGAAAGGCCAAAAGAACTGCAGAGCTGCCTTTAGGATGGGTCTCGCTGATGAAAGTTTCATCATGCCAGAACAAGTTGTTGACTTTTTCCGTTGAGGAACAATTCAGCCGCCACCAACAGCTTCCTGCTGCTGCTGGAAGAGAGGCCGTGTCTATCGTCGGCTTCTGGAGGCGTTCTGCAGGGGGTTTAAATTGGAATTGTAGATGATATATTCGACAGAATTTCCAAACCTGACTGCTTTTTTAGCAACCGGTTGAACTCCCAAAACAAAGTATATTTGTCTTATATCTAGTCAGAATATGTCTTTACACTTGCATAATGAGACATAATAACTTAAGAAGTAACACTGCAGTGAGATATCGGGTCTTGTTTTTAGACAATGCATCATCTTGGTAAAGGTCCCCTATTATACTGTTTTTCATCAATATATAATAGGTCTCAGATATATACAAAACACGTCTCTTGTGTGTCGAAATACCAAACAGATCATTGCAGCATCCCATAATCCCCTCTGTTTCCAAAGTGCTGATTCTCTGTCTGTTACTTTAGATGAAAATAAGGAGCCACTCCCCACGCCCCTCTGAGAGATATTTGGTTACAAAGAACTCCAACCAATGGTGCTCTAATACCTCATTCACACCAACGGTGTTTCAGGGCTGGTTCGGAGCTGGAGCTTGAAAAGCACCGGGTTTTCCTGCTCACACCGCAGCGGAGCAGCCTCTTAGCTCCGGAATCCGGTTCGTTTCAAGCACCAAACAATTGTCCGGCTAGAGCAAAAGCACCGCATACGTCACGCTTACGTCGAGGTGGGGGCAGGGGCAGATCAACTCCTGAACAACAACAAAAAGCCGGCGGTTTATCCAGTTTGTACACGACGATGGAGAAACTTAACAAGCAGCAGTGGTCCACTGAAGAGACCAGCTACCTACTGGGAATCTGGTCTTCAGAAGAGGTACAGAGGAAGCTGGAGCACAATCGGCCATTGTTGTTGTTGTCGGTGTCAGCTGTGAGGGGTTTCCGCGCGGTTTGGCTTTTTGAAGCAGGCACGCAAACGGTTACGTCATGACACAAACGATGACGCAATGACGCAGCACCAGTCGGACTCTGGGCGGTGTGAAAGAGCCGGAGCTAAACCGAAGAACCGGTTCTGAACCTGAAAAGCTCTAGCACGGAGCTTGAACCGGAGTTGCGTTGGTATGAAGGAGGTATCGGAGGAGATTCAGGTGATAAGGTGAGGGTGGGGGGGTTACCTTGGTTGGTGATTGGCTAATGGTTACACAACCCAAAAAATCGTTATGACATCATAAAGTGGCCAAAATCTGGTCAGCTCATTTTCAGACAGGTTTTTAACTTTTTATATAAATGGATCAGGACAAAAAGTGAGCAAATATTATTTCCTAAAACTTTCTGAATCTCTTTCCACAGAGGGGACACATGTTGATGTAGAAAATACGTGAAAAAGTGGATTTTGCATAGTAGGTGACCTTTAAGTCAAAATATCTTATTTTGAGTTGTAACTCAGATGAAACTTATTTTTTTTCACAAAATTATTGGAAAATCCCCAGAAAAAACCTTTGAGCATTTGCGGCATATATTGTAACACAGCATTTCCTGATTCTGAACAAATATACTGTAGTTCACAATAAGTTTTCCCTGCTAAACATCTGATTTGTCTAAATATCCCTTCTTATTTCAAGAAATCTTCCCAAGCTTATTTTCACTTTTTCTATTGGCAGATTGGTGTACAAGTGAAAACACCTTGTTTTCATTATTTGTTCAACTTGTTTTTGGAGAAGCATTTTTTCCAGTGTAAAAGTCTGTGTAAGAAATGCATTGAAGATATTTTATCAAAGGTTTGTTGTTTTATTCTGAATGTTTCCAAAGATTGATCAGATATAAGGAACGCGAGCTGTCCTAAGACAATGTTTGACAATAAAACATTTTAATTCTCACTTACGTTTCACTTTGAGATCAATCTTGTGTGCGCTGTTGTGTCTCTTAGTATCGGTGAGGTCTACACTGTACTGCATGGCATCCTTTGAAGTCAAATTGCGGATAGTTAAGTCACCTGAAAAAAAAAGACAAAGACATTTGAAGAGACACTGCCATGAGAGAAATAAAGAAATGATTCCCTTACACTTATTCGTCTTTCACCTGAGGAGTTGTTAAGACTGAGTCTCCCTATATATCGACCAAACCACTCCAGCTGTATTGTCCCTTTGGATAAGGTGGCGATATAGGTGTTATTTGTGTATATTGACCAGTTGATCGTGGAAAGAGTCCTATTCGGGTCCGCTCCTGAGAGCAAGGTGGCGCTCTCCCCAATGTACCCAGTGACTTCCCTGGATTCACCTGATGTCACTGTAAAACAATAATGCATCAACATTACAGTGTTTGAGGTGTATTCAGTAAATTATCTCTGGTGACATTTGACAAAAAAAAGATGGCAAAGACAACTAAGCACCAATCTGGATTCTCAGCTCGGTAGACATCTACATGTTTTTCACTGCTGTTAACCCACCTTCTTTAGCGTGTTAGCATTTGCTAACATTTGCTAACACAAACAAAACATAAAGTATACCTGAGGGAGATGGGAAAGTTTTCTGTTTTACAAGTCATTAAGTATTGGATAAACTGCCATATGACCTGATGGTGGTGCTATATTAAATGTGAATGGATAACATCTCATACAAAGCGTCACCTGGAGGCTATGAATAATTTCATGTTGATAAATAAAATTGATGAGTTATCGACATGGTGTTTTTTATGCATATTTTCGACATGTTGTTTTTGACATGTTTGCTTAATTAACTTTCATTCAGTTTTTAACATACTACACTCTGACTTGTTTTTGGACACACAATTCTGTGACTGTTTTTCATGCTTTTTGACATTCAACACTATGGAAGTTTTTCATATTTCTTCATGTATGTTACTATGCCTCTCACATACAATCGTAGGATTGCCATGCATCCTTCATGCTAGAAGAATTTTCGACTTGTTATACTATGACTTTCAAGACAATATTATGACTTCTTTTCTAATTAGGATACATACTTTACTTAAATATACTAATACCATTTACTACTCTATGACGATTTACAATATGTTTGACATACTATACAATTACTTTTTACATAACCTTCTTTAATGATAAACGGCAATGAATTATGACTTTTACTTCATGCTGTCTATGAGATTTCCTATGACTTTTTTACGAAACTTCTGACTTCTTTTTTTAATTTTTCACAACACACTTCACCATGATATTGTACAAATGTATTTTTTCATCACGTTATTTCACAAGCCTAGGCACCGTTTGAAATGGTAGCCAAGTAGTGTATTAAATGTAAGACTCTGTAAAGGAAAGTATTGATATGCCTGTAGAAGAAAGATAACTACAACAGTCGAGTTATCCTCTAGGGATTGCTTCAGTTTAATAAAACATGAGTGACAAGAGTTACATATTGAGGCTCTTTTTAACTCTTGTAACAGGAAGTCAACCATTCAGCGGTGAACGGAATTTTGAATATGTTCAAGTTCTGAAGGTTTTACACATCAGCTACTGCTCAATATGTTCAGCAAATAAAACCAGGACATACTTTACCTTTTAGGATTAGAAGGACGATTAGAAGTCTCATCGTGATTGGCATCCAACACACAGACGGAGACCAGCGCCTGTCAACTTCTACTTCCTTTTTCTGTCTAAAACAAACACGTGGTCTATGTGAGGAAGGACCAAAAGTACATGCCTGAGTTATTTCATCAAATGTATCTTGCACAAATTCTTATTAGGATTTTGACATATTTTCCCCTTCTTTATCACATAAGGCGTTGTCATGACAATGATGATGGTCAGCATAAATATATGCACTTTTTAAGGTAATTCTTTGTATACCTGTGTACATTCTTAAACTTAAGTAGTTTATTTTCTATGCAGTAGTATCCAACCCAATCTGTACATTCTTTGTAGTATTTCATATTGTTATTTCTTTAATTTAGTTGTTTATAATTGCTTTAGAAACAAGGAGTAGGAGTTTACATAATTATAGTTCATAGCAATGGACAATCGTACACATCACTAGCGTTAACCACAACCTCCCACACACAAGTGTCACTTCCTGAAAAAGAAATGAAGTGGACATCTTATGATGAACACAGGACAATTCTCTTTTGGATGAGATCATTTATTAGAAAACCTTTTACATCAACTCAGTCCTAAAAAAGCAAAGTAAACAACAAGCTTGATGTAAAAGACACTGTTCTTCTGAGTGTTAAATCGAGTACAACAAAGTGATCCATCAAAACACAAGAAAATACAATCGTAGGAAAAGTACACTGCTTGTGAGTGGCACAACAATCTCTTTCTGTAGTGTAAAAAAGAACATCTTTGACTGACATAAGACACAATATGTGGCCCCATTCGCCTCTAAGGGGCCCCTGATGACCCCTAGTATAAACAGCACCAACTAGTTCTCTAAAAGTGGAATGATTAGTCTTTTATTTGTTAGTTCATCAAATGAAATCTGCAACTATTTTGATTACTGATAAATTATTTAGGCAAAACATAATCAACTTCTTATCTAAGGGGTTTTTACTTTTTGTGGTAGTTTTATTTAGCAATACATACTGTATGATGATTGTGTACACCAAAGTGTCCCGATAAAGAAATTATAGTCTGTTTTTCGTGCTGCACAACAGTGAGAAATAGTTTAATTAACATGTAAAGGCATTAGCTGCGACTAGCATCCAAATATGTAACTGAACTGTTGGCGGTAGAGTTGCATTGTGGGAAATGTAGTTGCTAAGCTGCAACCAAGGCAGGTCAATATGTGGAATAACATTTTTTTCTGTCCATCATGAGTGTGACAGTGTTATAGGAGTGCAATACCAAATATTACATTGTTAGGGGAAATACAATTTGACCCGTCTTAATTCAGACTGTGCTTAAGCTGAGAATGTTACTAATATAAAACATTTTAATCAATCACATGGAGGGAGCTTTTGGGTCTAAGGCCATGAGGCAGTTGGCCGCTTTTTCCAGTACCAAAACACACACATTGACACACTCACTTTAAAATATCAAAGACATTAATCAACATGAAGCTGGCAAAATGAACCACATTGGTTGTACTTGGCTAAATTATGTTAAGAGTCCATCAAGTCCAATTCCAGCCTTGTAGGTGAAAACAATTCGCTGCCAGTGTAACTGGATTCAAACTGCTCCTACACTTGGTTTGAAAAGTCATATTTCTTATTAGTGCAGGATTGCATTTCACTAGATGATTCAACACAACCTGAGCAGGAAATACAAAAAAGCACAAATCCTCAGTGCATTAAAGTCCATCCAGTGTTTCTTACTTCAAACTTGTAGTGGAGCATTTTCGAATCCAATTTTCAGTCGAATACAAATATAAGACGCAGTTCCACCGGTAGAATCCAGTCCAATTGGTGATAAAAGACGAGGGCACTTCAAATGGATGCTTGATTATGCCCTTTTATAGCATTCAAAAGCAAATGAGAAGTTCAAGTAAAAAGAGAAGTAGGACTATCTGACAAAGTCTGAGTGTGTATTAAAAAGGTCAGTGCACACTGAGGTGAAATGTTAGTCCACCACATCCTACCATATTCTCTTGAATAAAGGTGTTGAATCTAAAAGGTCAAAAGTAGTTTTTTAAGTGTGTTGAAATACCACGTTAAGAAAGCCCTTAAATGTCAGTATCATTGGAACTGGAAGCAGTCTGTAGTGCAATATCAGAAGTAACCAGTCAGCAGTTATAGGGAGTGTGACTAATTTTAGGTTTGTTAGAGGAACAAGGGCAGCGATGAGGATTTCTGTTGCTTCTTCTCTGTCACTTCCTGATATTTCGGCCAAGTCCTTTGGGCGTCAGGCTTACAAAAAGATAAAAAACATTAAAAAAGAACAAAAAAAAAAGACTTGTTATTTCATCCTGCTCCTACACAGACGTCTCTGACTGCATCTTCATGACAAACTTGTGTCTTTTGGGGTCGATGAACTCCTCCCCAAGGTTCAGGAAAGGGAGGGGGGTCACCGTGACGACGAGGGAGAAGTCGAGGCGTCTCAGGGAAAAGACCTGGCCCTGACGCAGGGCGGAGGTCACGGGCTCCTCGCTCACTAGGGTCCACTGGCGCCCCCTGCTGGTGTCCAGGTACTGCAGGGTGGGACCCGGGCTGAGGTACAGCTCCAGGAAAGCCTGAGCAGGAGTAAACAGAAAGATGACAGCTTGAATTATATTAAGAAAAAGTGGAGGAAAAAAATCTGAGTAAAAAAAGGCGACATGATATGCAGAAGTAAAAAAAAAAGACTAAAATAAAACTAGAACAAAACAAGTGAAAGGATTAAATACAAAATAAAAACAAACACTATAAAAAATATATATTTTACTGATTAATAATTTGATTATATATGTATGCAAGAAGAACTGAAAGCTATAATTAATAATCCAATTAAAATAATATACAATTAAATTAATACAAATCATATAAATACAAATATTGAAACATAACTATTTGAAAAATATTATCATTTAATTAATTTATAATTTAAAGCAATACAAAAACTAACTAAAAGCTATTCAAGACAAATAAACTCAAAGCATTATACAATTAATACAAAATAAATAAAACAATTCAAAATGATATGAAAGGATTATAATTTCATTTATTGATAAACTAAAACAAAAAATTAAAAGCTAGAATAAATACTAATAATAATACATTTGATTTATATAGCGCTTTACCTGGTACTCAAAGCGCTTAAAGATTTTAAATAAGAATAACGATGATAGAAAGTGGAAGCAGCCTTGCTCACCTTGGGGGTCATGCTGTGGGTGATGCAGAACTGCAGGTGGTTGATGATGCTCTCCATGCTGTGGTACGACTGCTGCCTGGTGGCGCGGAGGTATTTCTGCATGGCCCGGGCCATGGGGGCGAAGATGGCTTGGGCCGCCTCCCGGGGGTCCATCACCTCCCGTGGGTGTTTGGGGGACGACACGGACCCCTCGTCGTCCTGGTGACGTTTGATGTGGGTGAAGGCTTCTTCTACGGCCACCACCAGCCTGCGAGAAGAAACCAGGAGACACCAAGGTTTAAAGATCATATCATCAGTATTTACACACATAATGTGAAAAGCACAAAGCACGTTTGATAAAAAAATCATTAGAGTTTAAAGGGGTCCTATTAAGCTTTTTGGGGTTTCCCTTTCCCTGAAGTTTGTTATAAAGGTTTTCGCACATGTAAATGGTCCACAAAGAATAAAATCCCAGAGTTTCTCCCCCGCCTGAAACGCCTCTATTGGACTCCTTTGTTTACTTCCTTAACATAGTGACATCACTACGTCACGCTAGCGCTCCAACGCATTGTACGTGATAGGCTAAGGGGCGGGACATCTCTAAGCCGTTGACCAATCACAACAGAGCCGCCCAGCTAATAAATCAGAGCAGACTGGGCTCTGGTTTCAGACAGAGGGTGAAAAGAGGTGCTGCAGCACAGGCAGTATGAGAAACATAAGGAGCTTTTTGAACATTAAAGCATGGAGACATGTCCCAGGAGAGACACTACATACTAATATACACCTGAACATCAGCAGAATATAAATCTTTGATAAACACATTACTGCAGTAATAATCTAATCTCAAAACATATCAAGTACTTCTGGTATTTATTCAGTTTGTATCTTTATATGTATGCGTTCTATGTTACATTACATTACATTGCATTTAGCTGACTTACAATAAGTACATTCGACCAGGAAGATAGAACCTTGTGTGTGGGTCTGTCCTCACCTGGCTTTACGTTTGCGGACCCTCCGCTCCACCTCGGCCTCCTCGTAGTAATACTCCGTGTGGGAGTTGTCTCTTTTTCGAGAAGCGGCAGCTATCATGGTTCTGGACTGGCCTGTAGAGTTATTGGTGCTGTTCTCTGTGGACAGAAACAAATCACATTAAAGAATTTCCCGCATTTGGCATGTTCGAAAATTATTATTTTGGGAATTAGCATACTAATTACCCAATTTGTTTAGAGTGTAAGACTCACATGTGTCATTAGATTAGGGCTGCAACAAACAACTCATTTGATAATCGATTAATCTATCGATTAATTAAACGATTAATCGACTATTCAGACTATTATGCCTTGCACAATTTCTCAAACGCTCTGATTTAGCCATCAACTTCTAGATTTAGCTTGAGGTTGTTTTAGGCATGTGGAAACTAACAATGAAGACAATAAAGATGAATACTTGATTCAAAAATACATATATTATTAAATTAACTAAACACATTTTGCACAAAATTAACATTGCTTTTTATTTAAATTAAAGAAATATATATATTTTTTTCCACATCAAAAGAAACAACAGTGTTTTAACAAATCGTATTAAATAATCTGATGACAGAACTGTAAACAGAATAGCTGAAACTTTAACAAAATAAATAACTCAGTTACCTCTAATCATTAACCCATGTTTGAATAATTGAGTTAGCTCCGTGTGTTGCTGCTAGCATACATAACACCTGACGTGGAAAAGTTACTCGTGGACGGGGCTACAGCGCTACAAGAAAGCCAGTCGAACCCGATGCATTCCTCCGTCTGGATGTGGTGCACTTTTGCTAAATGTTTAGACAAATTGCTCGTGTTACCGCCCTCACATGCTAAACTCTTATTGCACTATTGGCAACGAGCATTGTCCACATCGAGACATTTAACCACATTTAACCACACCTTGGAGCGCTTACTTAGAAGAGTAAATTCTGTGTTTTACCTTCCCCCAGATTGTACACTTTGAAGGCAGACATTTTCTTGGAGAGGATGGACTTGGGCAGGTTGAGCAGGGCGGGGTTGTAGACGGGGAAGTCGTTGTAGTACTGGTCCAGAAGCCACACTGCTGCACGCTGAATACTGAGAAACAGAGAGAGAAAAAACAGAGTTCCTCCTTTTAACGCCGTATTTGAAAACACAGAGTTGCTAACAGTGATAAGAAGACACCCTCACGACAGCAGCATGAAGAACAAGGAAGTGGTTACCCAGAACATACACGAAGAATACAAGTCTGCTTTACTGTGGGAATATAGGGTCCATGAGAAAGAGAAAAACACGTCTAGTTCAACTTGAAGATTAACCTGAAAGCCATACAGTAGCTGTAGAATAATTGCCATTTTTCTGAATATTAACTTCACCTGTTATAATCATACAACACAAAAGGAAAGATTCAAACAACTGACTACAGAATGATGTCCATTTACTTTGTTTCTATTTTGCTTTAGGGATAGATCGACAAAAAGCATTACATTCGCAGAATATCTTGAATGTCCTATTTTTATTTATCAATTATTATGGATTGAGATTAATCAAATAATTCTGGAGAATAATCATTTGCCTTATTTCTTAATAAGATTAACAAGAAACATGTTAATCAAGAAATCCAACAAAAATTGGAAACATAAAATATAGGAATGGCAAAAGTTTAGTGTCCTCTGGATAGACTGATAATAAATGGACCTGCAGATATAACCTTATTTTTTCAAAATTAGATTCCCTAAAGGAAAAGGGTTCAATTTAGAAATCTAAAATATAGAAAAAAGGACCCAAACAATGTAATACCAAACAGAGTAATATAATAATATGAACCTGAGGTGGCCCACGTTGTAGAAGCGGCTGGCTCCGTCAGTGGTCCGCACCACCTTGAGGCAGAAGGCGGGCTGCAGGTGCCGGACCTCCAGCAGCACTAGGGCCAGGTACTGGATGAACAGCAGCGCGTCCACCAGAGACGCTGCGTATCCCACAATGCCCCTGTAGTCCGTCTCTCTGGGCTCCAGCACGCGCACCCCGTAGAACAGCCAATAGGACGCCACGAAGAGGAACACCAGCGCCAGCAGCAGGCAGCGGAAGATGAAGAAGCGCGGCAGGGTGGCTCTGGGCGGGCGGAGGAACAGCGCCCAGGTGGAGATGAGGAGGATGAGGAGCTTGAAGGCCAGGGAAATGTAAAGACCCTCACACGGGGTGCCGCAGGGTTCCAGGGTGTCCCGCCAGAGGAGCTGCGGGAGGGCCAGGAAGGCCAGAGGGGTGACCAGGGCGAAGAGCCCCAGAACCCCGCCCAGCGCCGGGCCGAGGAACCGGCGACACTGCAGCGGAGAGGAGTCCTCGAGGTCCTTCAGTCGCGTCAGGTCCTCGTTGGAGACGCTGTCCACGGAGGTGCCCGTGACCACCGTGGTGGTCTCGCCCCAGTTGTCATCCTGCAGAGAGAGCAGAGTAATGAGCGTTGGAGAAACATGGCTGAACACAGATGATGAAGAGGAAGGATTAGAGTCTGCCTCTGACCCGGTCGTCTCCGCGGGTCGACTCGGCGTCCAGCAGCGGCTCCCCCGGAGCCTGGATGGTCACCGATTTGTCTCGGATGCTGCTGTCGCGGCTCTTCGAGCGATGTCTGTCTCTCCTATCCCTGGAGACAAAGGACAAGTCAGGGATGCTTTGTTATCAATGGGAGAAAATCATTTTGAATCATGTGTCCTGGCAGGTTATTTAAAAACCTGTAGTCTAGCTATTCTGTTGTGGTAATACTTTAAATGTATAAATGTAAATCAAACCATAAAAGGGTGTTTTTAAAATAATATATATTTTTTAAATGATATTCTTTTTTTTATTTCTTCTTTTATTCCAGTATTCAATGCATTATGTGTACATTTTTATGTGATTATGTTTTTGAATATTCTCAGCATTTCAGTATACTTCCAACAGGAGGCGCCAAAGTTGGACAATTCTACACTTATGTCTTAAATTGTATTTGTATATCTCTATTGGAGGACTGAGGGATGATGAACAGCAAAGATCTTTGCAATTATTTTCTCAATTAATTGACGAAAAATTTACAGGGGAATTTGGGTGTTTTGCTAATTAATTAATAATCAGTAACTTAGAAGTTGCCGCTTTATTTATTTCAGCTTTAACTATTTGTTAGGTTTTTTTCCTTCATACAAAAATAGATTTGCTAAAATATCTATCAAGTGCAAATAACTGGAAATATAATTGAGCATTTGTGCAATGACGGTTAAAACTATTTGTCCATACCTTGAAAAATAAATTATATAATATATAATATTTCATATTCACTCAATTGTTAAGGTCATACGGTGGGGGAAACTTCTGAAGCAATTGGAGTCAGGACTCAGAGAGACACGAGGAGAGCTGGAGCTTTGATGGCAAACACTGATGGGTTTATTTGAAGCTTCGGCCGGAGAACTCAGAAAACAAGTCAAAGAGTCAGAGGTTCTGACTTCACGGTAGAGTTGCCACGTCAATTCTAAGAGAATAATCAACATTGTGCGTAACATGATAGAATCATAACACCTCTATCAGCTGACGCCAACAGGCAGGAACAGGGAGACAAAACACTGAGAGCACAGCAGCCAAGGTTACAGGTGCAAACATTATTTCCGCTACCCTGTAGAAGCTTTTTCTAAACTACTGAAGACCTATCTTTTGTTTATACTTGAGATGTGTGTGATGTGTTCTGTTCTTATGTTTGTTCCTTTCAGGACTCCACGTGGTCTGTGTTTTGTTTCTATGGTAACCTTACATTTCTGCTTCGTGGTTATTGTATTCATGTTTCTGTGGTCTTCATTTTAACTTTTGTTCTCACTTGTGAAGCACTTTGTGAATTATATTTCTGTGAAAGTTGCTATAATAAATAAACGTATTATCATTATTACTTTCAAAGATGTTATTGAATGACCAATTAACCATCCAAATAATCAGCGGTACAGTGACACCTGAGGTCCTCTACCTGTGTTTGCGGGAGCTTCGCGATTGGGACGACTTGTAGGAGTAGCCCGAGTACGTCGACTCGTTGTCCATGTCCGAGGCCGGCGGTGGGCGGGGTTTCCGGGCCCCTCCTGCCCGCGAGCCGCCGCCTTTCTCCCAGACCACGCCCAGCTGGCTCTTACGGCTGCTGATGGACTTGGTGGAGAGAGCCAGGGGGAGGCGCAGCAGGTCCACCTTACTCCTGAGGGAATCTATCTTGGAGGCCTGGGAGAAGGAAGAGAAAACGGGTTACAGAGAGAAGAAGATAGATGGAGTGTTCGAGAGTGAACAGCAAGGAGGCAGGATGAGAAATGAGGAGACCGAGAGGGGGACAATTTGTCATATCAGACGAGGAGAAAAGCATCTCAGAGGGGCATTGTTAGAGTGTTGGCCCGGAGGTAGGTGTGTGTGTGTGTGTGTGTGTTCAGGACATAGCTGGGCCCATTCTTCACACAGGACATAGCTGGGCCCATTCTTCCGCTTTAAGGGAGTTTTTTTATGAGCAAGTGATGTGGCCCTGAGTGTGTTCTCAGCCAATAAAGGGCAATTACACCAACTTCTATTCTGGGCTGCAGGTCTCCAGTGTGCACGACATGCAGAACATCAGGACCATTCCAGAAGAACTGCACGACCTTGAAGAACATGCACAGTTTCTCATTTATACGAAATTTAGATCCTTTTTCTTCATGGTGGTTTTCCTTGTTGGTCCATGTCTGATACATACTCGCCCGGACGCCACATTCCCAAACTGTCCCCTGTGGTCTCCAAGGGCAACAGAGCTTCACTACTACAATGGGGATGAATGGGAGGCTAGGGCTGAGAAAAGACAGGAGGGGGGTAGTAACCACAGCAACCAGAACATCAACTCTGCACCCCCCTCCTCTAATTCTCCCTCAAACACACACCTCTGAAGACACAAACTAATCATTTACCAGGCTATGACTGTGAAACAAGCGGACTGTAAACACTGTTTGTTTCCCCAGAAAGTACTTTCCCAATCAGCCGTAGAACCAGTCTTAATGTTATAAGAAGTCCTCACGCTCTCAATTTGCTCCGTGACCTCCTGTGTCCGTCTTCCATCAGACAGGCCAATGTTTGGTAATGGCTTTCATGTGATTCACACATGAGCAGAAAAAAAGAGGTTTATGGGAAAGTGACCATAAAATAGCCACTCTGGAGTCAGCTGGGATACGGTTTTAATATCTGACGAGCTTTTAGGACACAGCATCCATACCAGCATCACGTGAATGCTTGTGAGGGTAGAGGAGAACATAATGCAGCGACAAAAATACTGAAATATTGAAGGAAAGCCTGATGCAGCCTGCAAGACAACCTGCCAACTGGGAGAAGATTTGCTTTCCTGCAATTATATGAGCCCAAGCATAAAGCCAAAGCTCCACAGATATGGTTAAACAACAATGTTACTGTCCCGCGCTATGAAACATTAAAAACTATTTTTATAGACGCCGCACAGGGGACACATGCCTCTCTTTAAAAAAGGAGAATGTGCTTGGCCTTAGTCACTACATTATGCATGCCATGCTGCACGATTTCTGTTTAAAAATGGAAATGACACTGACCTGATTCTCTAGTTTGCATAAAATTATCTTTGCTGCAGTGTGTGCAGATTTAACAAGGGTTTATCTTGCATGAAGTGGCTGTTAAAAGTGTGTATTAGTCAAACCTAGGGCCAGACACAACACAGAGCCTGAGGAAAAATATGCAACCCTCAGTGCTGAGAAAAAACAACTTGGTTTTATGTTGGAAATCAACATAATTATTGTGGCATAGACTAGCCCTGTCTGTGACAAACAATCCCATTGATCGCACTTCCGAGCATCTCCCACTCTAATCCACCCACCGCTCATTGATCCTCACTGGAGAGCACGCACAGCGTCATCTGGGATGTGATAGGTTGGATACTAGTGTGGAAACAAACTGTTACTACATAAAGAAGCCAGGCTCAAAATATATAGTTTTATCTGGTGATAGAGTTGCTCTAAAAAGTCACTCAACTTGTTATTATTACATTTCAAACAAGAGTACAATTGTTTACTTTGTTAAAAATATAAATGGTTCTCTTTAAGTCTCAGTTTTGGATGTTCAAATGCATGCAGCCCCAGTCATGTTGGGGCTCCCGGGGGCCTCCAGGCCTCAGGGTGGCAGTGGGCCATCGAGGCGTGGCTTCAGCCTCAATACAGACTCCTTTAAGCAAAGCCGAGCCCAGGCTTCGAGGCCTTTACACCACAAACAAACCGTTTGAACTAAAGCGCAGGAACAAAGTTTTAAAAGCTAAAAAACGATTTAAAAATCAGTGCGAAAAACCAGGAGAGTGAGACAAAGCCGAACACACCCAGGATGCAGTGATGAGCAACAGACTGGTGACCACACACACAGAAAACTCCTCTCGCATGCGTGTTTGCACAGCGGAGTAAAATCTACCAAATCTGTAGCGTTCCATTTGGCACACAGTGCGTAAAAGTGCGCGGATAAAAACAATGAACAACTCATGGAAAACGAGCTTTGTGGAACCCGGTTTGTGTGTGTTCACACTGGTGGAGAAATGTAATGAATCTGAGATCGATACTGTTTTCTGCCAGCTCATCAGTCCGTGCACAAATACAGCTATACAAATATGTTAAAAGGGGGGGGAAAGGTACAAATGTAGATTGTTGTAGTTTTGGCATAATTAGCCGTTGTTATGGTGAAAATGCTTATTCAGAAACCCCACATTTTACCCAGAATGCATGCACGAATGTCTTACCTTTCTATCCAAAAGGGTAACGCTGCAGCACAAAGAGCCGAGCAACAAAAGTGCCTACAGAAATCACTTTCTCCCGACTCTCATCTCAGATTCCGCGCTCATTTACCACCGGAGTGTAACTTGATTCCTTGTTGGTGATTGCAGTTGGTTTTGTTGTGTTTTCGGCTGTAAAATCGCATTTCAAACCGAAGCACCGAAGCCTCACAAAGGGCAGCGACTCGCATCTCATCCCGGCTTCGCATCTGCTTTGTGGCGGATCCCCGCTGAGCTGAGCCGCTCCGCAGACCTCCAGCACCGGAGACATGGAGTCAAGCTGGAGAGATTAAACCAACTGCTTCCGGGTGGACATAACAATAAAACCGACATTTGCCCTAGAATTTTCCGGTGTCAGTTTAAAAAATAAAGCCGATATGTTTTGTTTACAAAGGAACACAATTGCATTTAAAACGTTAGAAAATCACACGTATCTTCTTTAAATGAATGCACACATCACAAAAATGTTAAACATATGGATGAAACCCCACGAATTGTGCACATTGTACAAAAAGTATCAATAATGCACACATGTAACTTGTACGGATATTTCGTAAAGAAATTATGAATATAAGCCTTATATGTACATACAGAATATATCAATTTTTGATTATACCTTCTACAAACCTTCTGCTTTTATTTTAAAGCAAAACAAGTGGATTTCCTGTTACATTCCCGACTTTAAACCATGAAAAGCTATAGTTTTGAGTAGGTGATTTAGAGATCCTTAATCCTTTCCTACTAAGGGAATACAACATATCCAAATGTATAACTTCAACACTCACTTAAAGAAACAAGATTACTAATTAACTGGCGACAATTCAACCCACATTCAAAGATCAAAAACTCACAATCCACATTTCATTTTGTTTATCCAGTTTCTTTTTAATCTCACAAAACACATGAATCTGAGACATGAGCTCTGTTTTCCTTCTGTGCAGCTAAACAATCTCATCAATTTTAAAAACAAGGGAGAAAAAAATAATTTATACATCCTTTTTTTTTTTAATCATATCTACAAAAATAAAATCAAATACGAGGACTAAGGCTTTACAGAAAAAAATTAACATATATAAAACAAGTGGGTCTGATCTCTCTATATTACACGAGTGAACACGATTTTTTTTTTAAAAGACACAAAATAAAAACAATGAGATGATAGTTAAAGACGTGTGTATGCATACAGTAGTTTGCACCGTGCAGGGAAGTTCTTTGTGCAACATAAAAAAAAGGGAATCAATTTAATTTTTTTTTTCCTTTTTTTTTTGCCGGTTAGGGCGACAACGCTGATGTAAATGTACAATGGAAAGAAGAAATCATGAAAGATAAAGAAATTGAAGTGTAGAGGTAGAAATTGGAGATGAAAAATGCTGTGTTTAGAGGTGGGAGGAAAGAAAAGGTAATATTTGTCGAGGAGAAGGAGAGATATTGACTTCTTTGAGCCAAATTATGGACAGCACATATATGCATGTGATGACTGTGTGTCCATAGCTCGGCATGGAAATGTTTCAATTTCAAACAAAGAAATATTTTCTTCTCGATAACACTTGAAAATAGGCAGCCATAATGTCGAAACAAAAAACATGTTCCCTTCTACACCTCTGGAAAGATATTTCACTTTGGTAGAACATTTAAACTTTTTAACACAAATCCCTGTTGTTAATTTGGGGTTTCATGCTGAAATCAGCCACTCTGGTCGTCAAAAAGTGTGATTTTTAAGTTGAAAATCTCAGTTTTGTTCATATGTGACGGCCATGTTACAGCAGTGAAATATCCTTTTGAAAGTAGAATTCAGCTGGTAGTGTGTTAATATACTTGGCTCCTGGTGATCAGTTTGGTAATGTATTGTCGGTAGGTTAAAGTCTGTTAGTATTTGAAACCAGCTCAAATAAAATCCAGTTCGGTGCGACCATTAGCTTGATAAGAGGAAAATAATTAAACTGGTACAAAAGAAACACAATTATTTCCTTGTAAGAGTTTAAATATACATTTTCTTTTTAGCGTGTCATCAATTTAGGTTAAGATAGAAGGCGTTTGAGAGAAAAAGCTTTAGTGTCAGTCTTTGCTGGTAAATGTGCCTTAACCATTGGTTACAAAAACCTTTTTTTTTTTTTAAATTACTCCTACATAGTTTGAGATTATTTGCTTTATTGTGTTGAATACCTCTCGTGTGTGTTTTTAGGACTCTGCTGGAACCAGTAGCAGGTTAGCTTAGCGTAAAGACTGGAAAAAGCGAAACCGCTAGCTTTAGCTAACAAAATCTACCTAGCAGAACCTACAAAGTTTCCAAATCAACGCACTAAATCTTAATTAGTCAAATCCTAAAAACACACGCAGAAATGTGTGAGTTCAGGTGCAGAAACTACAGGAACAAGCGTGTTCATTTATGAGCTTTACAGATTCTGATAGGTGGTATTTGTTACTTTTAGACAGATCCATGCTAATTGTTTGCCTCATTTCCAGTCTGTGCGCTAAGCTAAGCTAAGCGGCTGCTAGCGTTATCAGCCTTTGCATACAAGTGTTTCCCAAAATGTCAAACCATTGTATCAATTTATTTTTGCTTATTTAACATTTGCATATACTGAAAAAATTCGTATTTACCTAATAAATACAGGTTGTTCAAAGGGTGGTGATGTTCAGGTACAGAGCGCAGTCCTTTCATGGCTTTGGCTGGATGGATATGAACATTATGTGTGTGTGACCGCTGGAGAAGTGAAGAGTTGCTGGTTCGCAGCATTTACCCCTCTGCACACTAAATCTCAAAGTGTGGACAGGCGTTGTCAGCGGCGATTTTTGGCAGCGGTTTGATTGAGGGACATGTTTTTTCAGAGCAGTTTTCAAGTTTGAATCTCTATTTTTCCTCTTTCCTCACTCAACATTGCCCGTCTTCTCCCAAAGCATTCTCAAATCTCCCTAACGCATCATGATCAGAAGAGCTTGTTTATCGCTGAGATCCCTGACCGCCTCTGAAGCAGCGCTGAAAAAAAAAACCTGCCAGCATTTCAGTAGTAAACAGCGGTTTAGGGTTTCAAAATTAACAATATTAACAATGGCATGAATGATGAAACAGACTGGAGGATATGTCAGTGAGGCTGCTCCCAATGACACGTTAGTGTTTCTCCCACAGTGTGACGATATGAATCCGAGCTTAATGACAAAATAAAAATGATGTGTTGGTTTCCTTACCCAGTGCAAATAACCTGAATTATATAGACACAGTCCTTCGTCCACGGTGGCAGGTGAATTCAAGTGGTACAGGCAACCAGTGGAGGCGGGAGGGGGGGAGGGGGGGCGGGGACCACCCCGGAGCCATCTTGGCTCAAATGTCGGGCCCTAAATAAAGCCAGTGGCATCTCCTGTCCCTGATTTGTCCACTGTACACGACAGAGGGATGCATTGTGGGTAAAGTGCAGGGGTGATGGGTCCCTTCGGATTTTTCCTTAAATTAACATTTCAACACTTTTCTGCTCCGTTTCTTCAACCAGCTCTTTAAAAAAAAAAAAAAAAAAAAAAAAGCAAGACGTACAACTCCTTCAAAAATCTAACTCCGATTTTCTACTTTCAATTCTTCCAACTTTTTTTAATTTCTCTTCACCGGTTAACTTGTCTCGTGCCTTTTTTGTTCCTTCATACTTTTTCCTCGCTCCGTCCACGTAGAAGTTGTGCTGACCTCAGAGATCCTGGGGATTCCGGCTAGTTTCTTTGTATTCCAGGGAAACGGGAAACAAAAAAAACACAGCTAGGGTCCGTCCTCGGCTCGGATCGAATGGCCGGTGCATGCAGGGAGGAAAGGGTGAGGGGAGGCGGGGCTTAAGGGCCCGAGACCGATATTAGTGCGTCCTTGCGCCAACAATCGAGACGGAGTGACGTCAGAATCCCGTCGACTGAATCTTGGGCTCTGCTGGACTGCCCTCTTTGCCTGGTGGGGATCAAGGAAAAAGAAAATGAGTTTACAGAGGAATGCATCGTCAATTCTTCTTTTGTAAATAGTTACGGTTGTTTCTCACCGTCCCCTGAGCCGCGATCCAGAGACGGCGTTCTGGAGACGGTTGCCGACGGACACTGCTGGTCCTCTGGCTCCTGATTGACTAACGGCTCTCTGAGGGTTTTCAAAAGCGTGTGATGGGAATTCTCTATGTCCTGTAAAAAAAAGAGGGAAAGATGCAGGAGATTATAAGAGAGCTGTTGTACACTTTGTGGGTTAAACCATGAACAGCGTTTGACTCCGTTTGTTGCTTTTTGTTGAGGGCCTTATCGTCCGAATGTAAAAAACATAAACACAACTTTTGAGAGACTTAAAGATTCAATGTTGCAAAGTAAGTAGTACACAGCATGAGGTACACTAAATGTTTTAATCAGATACTATAAACTGCATTCACTACAGTCCCCTATATATGGCTGCAGTGTTATCTCCACTTCCCATGAAAGCTGATCTCTTCTCGTGGCAGCATTTAAAACCTTAATAATAACGTAGTTGTTGGTGTATCTGCCTAAGACAGAAACAAGATGCTCTAACTGGTTAAAAACAACATAAGAGTAAGAATGACGCTTTGTGATGACTGTACAGAAAACGTTTTTTGTGAGTTGGATTAGGTTTGAGTTCACGGTCAGACAGCCACCTTGTTGCCACGTCAACACAAACTCACCTTCAGCTGGCGCAGCTTGCTCGTCAGCCCCTCGATGGTGTGGAAAATCTCGTCCACATTTTTGATCACGTGGCTCTGCGGCGATTGGCCCGTTTCCTCTTCCTGTTCCAGTTCCATAGCCTCTGATTGGTTGGAGAAGCAGGCGCGTGCTTCTTCCTCGGGCTGCGGTGATATCACTTCCTCCAGAGGCTGAGGGAAGTGGCTGGCGGTGGGAGTAGGAGGGTCGTTGAGGTCGTGGAGGTCGTCGGTGGCGCTCTCTCCCTGCGCTGTAGGCAGTACCAGGTAGAACATGTTCCCTGGAGCAGAAAGTGTTTTTGTTTTAGCGGTAAAATCAACACCGACACAAAGATTATATTCTCCAGTATTCATCTTGATAATTATCCGACATTTACATAAAAAGGTATAATCTTCCTTTGATAAAACGACAGCACGTCATTACCCTGCGCGGTGGCCTCGCCTCTCGGCTCGTGTGATTGGTCGGAGGGGAGTGTGACATCAGCAGTGATGTCGTCAGGGACAGAAGAAGAAGAAGAAGGACCCGCAACCACAGCTAAGAGGATAGATGTGTGACAAGGAAAAGTGCGTGGGGAAGAAGTGTGTTGTAAAGTGGAAGCAGACAGAAGGAAAAGAGAAAATAAAGTGTGTGAGAAACCAATTAATGAATCACCCAAGTGAAGAGAAACATGCAGAGGAAGGCAGCCATTAAAGACACCCAGATTTCACCCAAAAACAGCCAGCCCTGCGGGAAGATTAAACATTTATCCGTTACCTTTCCTCACGACCTGAACGCTGCTGGGTTGCTCAGCGTCAAGCGGCGGAGCCTCTTCTTCAGGCTCCGCCTCCAATTCGTTGATGCTGAAGTTGAGGACAGTCTCCAAAGACTCTGGCCGCTGCCTCTCGGGGAACGAGCTCCTCTCATTGGTCGTCTCGTTGGTGGGCGTGTCGTCTGAATTGTGGCTCCAACCGTCCTCGTCCAAATCTCGTAAAATGAGCTGCCTTAGTGTTTCAACTGTGGAGACAACAGCAAACAACAATTAAAAAAAAGTTTGTGTATCACTTTCCACTTGTATTTAGAAATAATATATTTAGAATGAACTATAATGGTTGTGATTTTATTAAATTCCTATAGGATGATTACAAATTTAACAGATGTGTTTGTTTCTCACCGTCCTGTAAAGCGGCCTCGGCCACACCAACTGCTTCTCCTTCACCGCAGATGAAAGCTTCTGATTGGTCAGTAGGTGTGTGTGCTGAGAGCACAATGTCGTCGTTGGAGGAATGAGTCTCCATGGAATCTGACTGCTCCGTTATTGAGTTGTCTGGAAGATTAAGAAAATAAAAAACGAAGTGACTCAACCAAAAATTACATTTCCACACAGTTTACATATTTGGGGTGATGATCATTTAATTACCTGCAAACACATTGCTGCTAGTTGACACTGGGGACGCACTGCGCAGACTGGAGGAGCTGTAGAAAGAACATACACAATGTACATTAAGCATATGCAAGGGGTAAACAAACATGTATTAAAGAAAGACATGAAAATAATTAAATTGAAGACATATTAGAAAACGGTGTTGCAAAGGAACAGATTTATTTATATATTATTCATAGACGTCAGAATTACTCACGATGTAGGTATGGATCCGTGATTGATCAGGGGGGATGAACCGCCGGACGATGAGATGGTCTTTTCAAGTAAATCTTTCCAGCTGTAACACAAAACATGGATGCTCAATCAGCACAAACACCAGAATCTGGGATAGACATCTTTGATTCTTTTGAAAAATATATTAGGACTGGATTGCAGTGTATATTGTAGTTTGATATGATTCTATTTGTGGGGGCACCGCACCGCACCGCACCCCCCCCCCCAACGTTCTTGTTGCTCTGTGTTTCATTGTTAATGAGTGAAACACATCGGAGTTGAGGATCTGTGGGGTTTATTCTCCCAAAAATATAATTTACAATTTAGGCATTTAGCAGATTTACAATGACCAATTACAGGGACATTCTCCCTGGAGTAACTGAGGGCTAAGTGCCTTGCTCAAGGGCACACTAATAGTGGTGTTCCAGGCAGGATTTGAACTTGGAACCTTCCGATCATCAGCCCACCTCACTATCCATTAGACCACCAAAAAAATGAAAAATCTTTTTTTTTTTTTGGGAAAGATTATTTTTTTTACATATTTTTTACGAGATCTATTCGTGGCGGACGATATTTAATTGTGGCGGCCCGCCCCTAATAAATCAATGTATGGGAAACACTGCTACACTATATATTGTTTTTATCACTGTTTGATTGTTTTAGTTTTATTGATTCAACTTGCGTATTTAAGTCTCTCTTGTAATTCTCAATGGGTCTAACTAAATTAAACAAAGTAGACATTTCTTGGGAAAGAGCTTACGTGTTTTTCTCTGACGCCGTCCCGGCCACCAGCTCGTAGATCTGCCTCTCTGTGGTGCTGATCAAGTAGAGGGCTTTGTTATCTGGAGAGAAATCACAACACCATACATTATATCATCCAAAAAGCCAGAGGGGAATATAAAATCTGAGGTTAAGCGTTCCTGACCTGTAGCTACGGAGCGGACCAGCAGAGAGTCCAGCTTCACCAGAGGGCTGAAGAACGTCTTGCTGTCCCCGCTGCCCCCCACGCCCCCCCCCAGCCAGCGGGACGGATACCTGAGCAGCAGCCGGTCGTCCGGGCCCCGCTGCAGGAGCACCAGGGAGTCAGACAGCAGCAGCGCCTGGATCTCTGATGGAGGGACACAGACAATGTGAGTAAGAGGCACACAAACAAACTGATGACTGTATGTATCCACAGGGAGGTTCTGACCTATCTGCTTGTCTTTGTTGACTTTCCACGTGAGAGGACCTTCGTGGATCATTCTCTTAGTGGTGAGGTCCAGACCCTGTGAGGGACAGGAGGAAAACACATGTTGAGTCAAATAGCAGGTTGGTATATTAACACTTAGAGCAATCTAGTCTCATATACATATCGTTTTTATATAATCACCTAGCCCTAACTGGACCATATTTCCTTTTTTTTTTGTGACTGACCATTTTCCAAATTGATAGTAAATTAAGCAAGAAGCAAAAAATACTAAAGCTACCGTTAAACCAACATGGATTATCTGATTACCTTGAATAGAGGCGCAGCGTCCAGCCTGCGTTGGTATTGGCTGAGGCGTTGCCGGTGCTCCGTTTCCCTGACGTCCTCGTTCACCGCCAGCAGTATCCCTCGGCAACAAGCGTGGGCACGTTGAAGTGAGGGGAGGTCCGACGAACCGGCTGAAAATCAACAATTCTGACGTTAAAAATGCAACTTTTTTTGGCATGTTCTCCGTGTTGATGCATCTGTTGCTTCCTCACCGTCTGTGTGTTTGATGATGTTGTCCAGCAGCAGGGGGTACTTGGTGAGTCTCTGCATCTCAGACACAAGCAGGTCTTTGAGCTGCAGCCTCCGACAGTGATGACTCGCTTCACACTCCTAAACAAAAAGAAAAAGACGTTAGGCAAAGAAACGTCTGCGGAGAGAGATGTGCAAATCTGAGCTTTTTATCAGAACCAATTCAAACTAAAAAGATGTGCAAAACCCTACTTTTACTCCAACAGTTGTACTTATGCATTCTTAATCAAGTATGACTGGCATCAGATCAGTATTTCAAATACTTGAAATCGACGTCTCAAGATCCACACGAATGAAGGAAAAATGGAAGAACCAGTAAACCAGTAAACCAGTAAAAGTCTAAATAAGTTTGTAAAAGTGTCTGAAACTTCTATGAATTTAAATTAGTAATTAAATCCACATGAACAACTTATACCATAGGCATACATTAGACCACTGCACAACACTTATTGAGAAACAGTCCAAGCCTCGGTGAAACACAAGAGCAGAGGAGCTCAATGAATAATAAGAAAGAATTGGAGCACTGATATCTATCTGTGTGTGTGTGTGTGCGTGCGTGCGTGCGTGCGTGCGTGCGTGTGTGTGTGTGTGTACCTGTATGATGTGAGCGAAGCGAGGGTCTTTGCGTTGCTTGTTCTTGATGAGCTCCTGAGCCTGAGACTGCTGGCTGCACAGCTGCGACGCCTGCTCCTGAAACTCGTCTCCCGCCGTCCCTTCAAACTGGAAACACAAACGCCACGTTAACAATAGCTATAGGATGGAAACATGTGAACAAACCAAGTATGAGTAAATATATTAAGGATCTGTCAGCATGTGTTGCTTTAGAAAAACCAACATACATTACTAAAGGAAATCTGACGGTTCTTGAAAATATCTGGTGGAGCTTCATTGAGTCAATGAATGTTGGTAATGATGAATAAAACCAAAGACCGGGGCGGGGAGGGGGGCAACGGATTATAAAGTGTAGTAGCCCACGCCATAATCCTTCAGATTTCTGTCATCTGTATACTGACCTGTGTTTATTTACATGCCTATTCAGCCACCTAGACTGACCGTTTTATGTATGTGTAATGTTCGTTATATTAATCCTGCACATAAACTAACTCTTCTAACTGTGATCATCTTTGCTCACCCTGGCCAGCATAACGTCCCCGATGTCCTGAACGGTGGGGGCTTCTCTTCGCTTCTTCATCGCCTCGCATAGACTGGCTGCAAAGAAACAACAAAGTAAAAACACAAACAAATAACACAACCTTAATGTGGGTCGGCATCGGTTACATCATTTGAGATAATACCATTAATACAAGGCATTAGGCTAAATGCATAAGGAACAGACGATGCTAGTCCAATTACATCGCCTCATATACTTTCATAATGTCTCTTTATTAAAGCGCAGAGTACATATTGACTTAACAAATCTGCAGGCTGAGATTGTTACGCCGACAACCTTCCCTTAGTATTTGCTTCACTTATTATTATTTACCGAGCACACATACAGTCCTGAAAGCATGTTGACTCAAAGTACGACTCACTTTATTGTGCAAACACAAGAAGCAGAACGCAGTGACACGGTTACATTTCACACGGAGACACACATAGCCCTCATATTAAAAGTTGTTACACTATTTCAAAAGTTGTATTTCTTATTTTGAAACGAGCCTAAATTGTCTTGACGTCGTAAAGCAGCACACATGCTGAAATATACAGCTATACCTGGAATTAAACACTCTGCATGTACGACCAGAAGAGGGCAGGAATCGTCCTTATTTAAAATATGTGTGGCTGAAGACCTGGGGCCGTATTCACAAAGCATTTTATCTTACCGCTAGGAGTGCTCCTAACTCGCGCTAAAACATTTTACGTAGGAGTTTTTTCTTAAACGTTATTCACAAAGCCGCTGAGACCTACTCATACTAAGGATAAATCACTAAGAGTGAACTAAGAGTGACGCGCCGTTGCTATGGATGACGTCGATTCTCGTGCATGAGTTTAGAAGCGGTCAGTACGGTGATTGGTTGTTCAGAGCAGGCGGTCTCGGTGAAACTCATCCGCAACATCCCACAAACGAGCCCACTAAAACAAGGAAATAGCCTAGGCTAGAAATGTATTCCTATCAAATAGTTATGGACAGTGCAGTTAGCAGAATACACGCATGATGACAAGTTTGTGCAGACCACGATAATGACGTTGTATATGCACGTTAAAGAGAGAGAGCAAACAATAAAAATACGTAAATTGCATTAAATCAAGGAGGCAATTAAAAGCACCCTGCAAACTATTATCCAATGAGCATATTTCCAGCACTTAAACACTTTCAATAACAGCCCATACCGCCGTTCAAGTCCCCCTATCATGATGAATGAAAACAATCTGCGTGTTGATGGAATGTACTTTCTTTCTATTGACGAACACGTCCTCATCTTTTGATGGCGCAATTATTTTTATGTGCGTCCCGTCAATAGCACCGACCACACCGGGCATACCTGCATTNAGTAGGTCTGAGTAATTTCCCGGAATAAATTATCAGCCCTCACCGACTCTAACACGAGCAACCACCTTAGTTACTGTGAAAACGCCGAGACCGGAAATACTGTTTTCACCCGGTGAGAGCAAGCCCCCAGGAAGTGCTCCGGACTCTGAAGAAAAAATGTGTTGTGTCTGTGACTACCATGGATGTATAATAGAGTGGTGCAGTAATGAGTCCTAAACCCGGAAGTGAGTTAGCATTTTACCACTACCAGTTCCCTCGTCTCATATTCAATGGGATTTCTCCATAGGATTTGGGATAATAGCTCGAAATAAGGTCTGTGGTTGACACAAATTTAAGAGAAGGATCACGTTTTGTTCTACGACATTAAATAAATCACCAGTGACCCCACTGGGGATTTTTGAAGAGTTTACGTGTCTGAAAAGCGATGGTTGTTAACAAGTGGCTGAATAGGACTACAGAAGTTGTCGAGGAAGTTGTACGTCATTACGCCGAACACGTAAACACTCCTGCTAAGTTTGTTTGCCCTGAGACTGCCAAGGCACACNGAGCCAATGGGATCTCTCCATAGGATTTTGGAAAATAGCTGGAAATAAGGTCTGTGGTTGAAACAAATTTAAGAGACGGCTCACGTTTTGTTCTACGACATTAAATACATCAGCAGTGACCCCACTGGGGATTTTTGAAGAGTTTACGTGTCTGAAAAGCGATGGTTGTTAACAAGTGGCTGAATAGGACTACAGAAGTTGTCGAGGAAGTTGTACGTCATTACGCCGAACACGTAAACACTCCTGCTAAGTTTGTTTGCCCTGTTCTGCTTGAAAGCAAGTACCTGCCTCCTGCAAACTGTTCAAACAAACGCTTCAACTTTTACAATTTAGAATCTGTATGTTTGAATATCGATCTGACGGTGAAGTCGTGCTGGTGCACTCGGATGTAGTTTGTTTATAGCATAACGTTAGCATTTTGCTTCTGGCGATTATATTTATGATTCGGAAATTATGAAAGTACGGTAGACATGTGGAGATTATCCGGCTGAACAAAACGTGCATTTATCAAACAGGTTCGTTTTCCACAGACCTTATTTCGAGCTATTTTTCAAAATCCTATGGAGAAATCTCATTGCTTTTTTGTCGAGGGAACCCGTGCGCAGCTTACTTCCGGGTAAATACTTCATCCCTGCACCACTCTATACAAAACATATCTAACATTGTAGGGCGACTGAAGCGGCCATTTCTTTCTTGAGAACCAAACCGTTTCATCTTCAATGCTGAAAAGACGTCTGACACCTCTAGGGTTAATTTCCTGCCAGATAAATACTTTTGATCACTGATCAACTACCGGGAGGACTCACCTGCGTCTAGACCGAGGGGTGTATGGGGGTGTAGGGTTCTCTAGAGACCTGAGTGTGAGAAAGAGAGATTGCATGAGGTGAGAATCTGCGCTTCCAGGGGGGGGGGGTAACGTCCGGGGTGTTTGAAATCAAAGGGGTGAGTTTTGACCCTTGGAGGCTTATGTAGCTACATATCCCCAGTGGTGTAAAAAAAACTAAGCAGATTTACTCAAGTACTGTACTTAATTACAATTTGGAAGGATTTGTACTTCACTTGAGTCTTTCAATTGGTTTGTACTTCTACCCCACTAAAATTCAGAGGTAAATATGCTAATTTTACTACCTTTAGTTACTTTACAGATGTGGATGAATGATGTGAAATATAATCAAGTCTTAAATCAGACTTTAGTTCCACCTGGAGTAAATTCACAAGCTACCCTGCAGTATACAAAGTCATTCAAACTAGCTGCACCTTTACCAGCTCTGAGAACACTTTCATGATCAATCATTATAATCAAAACATATATTATAAACAAAATCATATATATTATTCTGAAATGGACCAATCTGCAAAAAACATACTTCTACTTTTAGTACTTTGAGTAATACATTGAATGCAGGACTTTTACTTCTACCAGAGTATTCCTACACTCCGGTACTTCTACTTTTACTTAAGTACAAAAGTACTTCTCCCACCTCTGCCTATCCCTTCCTGTAGTATTAAAGGAGGGTCTATATCTGAGTATGTCATTAAGACATTTGAGATGTTTCCTGAGGTAAGTAAAAAAAACACAAAATCCAATATTTACCGTGCAGAGCTGCTGGACGCGGACGACGAGGCGCTGTGCTGCAGCGGCCTGAGGCCCGGCCCCTCCCTCTCCTCCCCGCAGTCCTCCATGTCCACGTCGCTACGAGAGCGTGGGACAGACTCCGTCCCCGAGACGACGCCCCGCCGTCGGCCCTCACCCTGAGCCTTCAACGACTCGCTGCGTGCCAGACGCACCGAGACCGCAGGGCTGCGAGAGAGAGAAGGAGAAAAATGATCTCTAAAATAGCAACATTGAAATCAGGTGCTACATGCGGATTATACATTTCATGACAGGGTTCAGACTATGTAGCCACCACGGCCCCTGGTATACCCCCCCACGCACACAATAACACAGACTATAACACCCCTTGTTGTTAAATACCAACCAACTATGTGCAATATATATATATATATATATTAGGGCTGCTCAATTAATCGTATTTTAATCGCAATTACGATTTCGGCTTGCAACGATTATGAAAACAACATAATCGAAATAAAACGATTTTTTTTTTTTTTTTTTAATACATTTTTTATTTTATTGTTTTTTCAGTTGAATTATACTTAAAGTTCAGGGTAATCAACTGTTAAAAACATACTGTTCACATTTTTTTTTCAATAAATGGATGTTTTCAAAGTAAATGGATAATCGTTTTTAATAATCGTGATATCAATTATTGACCCAAATAATCGAGATTATGATTTTTGACATAATCGAGCAGCCCTAATATATATATATATATATGCCGTTAAAAACTGCAATATATACCTGGCTGCTAAATCCTCAGAACTGTTACGGATGTGTATTTTGTAAATTGTGTAACTTTTTCTTTAATTATAATTATGTTTTATGCGTGCTTCTTAGATAACATTAAGCTGTCTGTGGCTCTTTTCTGCTGTAACAATGTACATGTCCCCTCTGTGGGACTAATACAGGTATTCTGATTCTGATGATGGAGTACCTTTCCATGCTGTCCTCTCCCAGGCTGCTGGTGGAGAGCCTCGGGGGGTCCGCGGGGTCTCCCCCCTCCTCCCCCGTCTCTGTGTGGTTCTCAAACTGCTGAATGATGTTCCTCACACTGCCAGGACGGACTGCACACACACATGTTTTAATGTCCATGGACAGTACGATACAATAGTGGGCTAAAACGAGGTCTTCAAATTGAATTCATTCCATGTATGTTGAAAAAGCTAAAATGTAACCACAGTGCAATGACATAAAAAACAAAAGATATACCTTCGGTGGGTGACAACGGGACATGGAATGCTAAAAAACCAAAAGAAACCAAAAAGAAACAATGAAATAAGACACAATAAAGAAATTAATAAACAAACAATGGAAAAACAATAAAAAAGGGCAGACAGAGGGCACAAATAAATCAATATCGTCTGACGAATACAATGAGAGGGGGCATCACTTGTCCGTGTTCACGTGAGTGTGATGCGATGTGCCAGTGAACCAATACCGTCAGCTGACCATGACCTCTCACACACTCATGTTCACATATTACATACTGGTAATGTACTTGTGAGACTAGCGTGATGCCTTGAAGAATAAACCAAAAATATTGAAGCATGTTGACATTGAACTGGGCTCAGATATCAGATCATAATGATTTATAGGAAACATATCCCTAAATGAAGCCACCGGCATGATCCACTGCAGTGAACTAGAGCATGTGTCTGTGTGTATGTGTCCTAGCATTACCATCCTTATGGGGACCTAAATATGTTTACAGTCAGGTGTGGGGACTCGCCTCCCTTATGGGGACATAATGGAGGTCCCCATATGGTGTGCGTGTGTGTGTGTGTGTGTGTGTGTGTGTGTGTGTGTGT